AAATCCCTCAACTTGAGTTAACCCAAGTCTGTTAGGTAAGGTTTCGGTTCTTCCCCTTCTCCAATCAACACGATACGGTAACAAAGCCCATTTTTGGATCATGAACGTTCACTCCCTTAGCCATATGCAGCCAATTAGGGTGCCGAAAATCTAGTAATAGAAGAGAGTTAGGAGAAACGATGCTTTCCACATCTCTTTAGCATGAGAATGTGGATGGCACTACCTGCGCTTGGGACAGTGGCTGCGCTATGGCAGTGCAAACTTTCCGCCGAGTGGAGGAAGCCTGCATACATTTAATTGGGCTTAGAAGGGAATTTCATGGAATTCTTACTGTTATCAACTAGTCTAATAAGTAATGGCAAAAAATGGTACTTTAACCACTCCGAAACATATGCTAAAGGAAGCAAGCAAATATAAGAGGCGTTATAGGACCTAAGAATAATGTTTACCTCTCTTTGGAATTTTTCTAAGGCCTTAACAAGCTACACTGACGGGAAGAATTTATTATCATTTGCTTTGGAGAGCCTTGAAAGTCATCCGTCCAGCCGAAAGGCCACACCGCCAACCGGAAAATACCATCCTCCACGTAGAGCGGACCATTCAATGGTAAACATAATACAGGGTAAAAGATCCCAGCACAATCCTTCGAATAAGTTCATTGGTCAATTCTGGCCAATAGGATTCCAGATGCTGTAGCTAAACCAATCAATAAGCCTCGAGGGCTCACCTCAACCAACGCAAAAATTGAGAAAAGAAGACGAAAATGGTTGAAATGAATTATGTGTATTTCTTTAATTGTATTGACGGTAACATTTGGGGTGTTAGTAGCTTTTACTTTTTTAGTTATTGCCGTATTAAGAGTTGTTAGTTTGATAGTGGCCTTCGGCGGTGTCTTCGCAGGTGTGATACATTAATTATAAACATGAAAAAGTACGCAAGCTCAAGTAAAAATTAAGTCTGCCGATACGGAAAAGCTATAGAAATAGCTGCAAAAGGAGACTGAGAAGGGGGTAGTGGTGGTTGCTGTTTCCTG